TACTGTAAAATTCACCTATTAAATGCTGTTCCAGAGAACTCAAAATCTTCACTCCTCTTTCAAATTTCACTTGTACCTTGTGGTCGTTCCAAACGTCTCTTGAACGATGATTGGCTTGATCGTATAAAATAGTCGGATCAATCGGTCTTTGATCAACATAATATCGTTGATTGTATATATCAACATCAGACCCACCCTAAGATAGCATTACAACAATATAAATCAATTAGTATATAAATTAAATAAATCATTATAACAACAACAACAACAATTGGGTAAAATGAGTACGAACTGCTTGATAATCATCATAGTAAATACCCTCTTCTTGGATAAAATCGGCCATTTTTTCAGAATCCGGACAGAAATTCGATGGATTTTTAGTGAAAACCAAAGAAAAGTTTTTTGAAGGCAGATCGAACTTAGCCGCAACCAACAAAACAACTAATTCTAAGGTTTTTAGGTGGGGAGGGGGGTGGGTAGAGTGAGGAGTTAGAGAGAGAGAGAGGGGGAATTTGTGTTTGGTGTGCAGAAAATGAGAGGAGGGGTGGGGTTCATATAGGGACGAAACCGCGTGTTGAAGGGGCGGTTTCGTCTTTTTACCCAACCTAAAATCGCGCCTCCAGCGTGCGGTTTACGTTCCCCAACGCGCAAACCGCGCCTCGGGGCCACGGTTTGACTGAGCGACGCAGATCGCTGAGCTGGCGGACGGTTTGGCCGTCAGATCGCCTTCCCATCAAGTGATCCCATTGGCTGCCACGTGGCGACGCAGTTTGACAGATAGGAAGGGTCAAACCGCCTCTTCAACGTGCGGTTTGACTGTGAACCGCGCCTTCGAAGCGCGTTTTGTGTGGAAGGGTGATATTTTTGGAATTTGTGGAAAATTGGTAGTATTTTTATAATTTTTTTTAATAGTGATAGTTTTGAATTTTTTCAATGCTTTTGTAGCTCTGCCCCGGCCGCCGGTGGATGATTCCGGCATTGCTCCATTATCCATCTCTAACCTACAGAACATTGAGAATCCGACCAAAGTCAACCGGTTAATTGGGCCTTAAATTTTGGGCCCATCAGAATGTTAAGGACCGAATCAGCAGATGACCGTAGACAGCCCGAACTCGTTATGGCACAAGTCTGGTAGAATTAGCTGAAAGAATGGAAAAGTTCCCCCTAGACGAAAAAATAAGAAAACAGCTCGATCTTCTCGTCCAAAATAAACACCAGAAAGAATCGCCGACGTGGCTCGAGCCATCGTGAACCGAGTCTTGCCGGCAAAGTTTTACCGAACTTTTTCTTCTTTCAGGTAAGAAAATTTAATTCCATTTTCGTACGCTCCTTCTGGTTTTCAGTCACCGCTACACTGATTGGATGGTTTTCAATTGATACGAACTGGTTAGGGACTTAGGGTTTTTTCCCAATAGCAGAGTTTGATTCAGGGGACTCGTTGAATTTTCGCCTCTCTTTCCATGTTTGTTCTGCCTTGCTGCTTGGATGCAGATTGTTCTTTTCTGCTGTTTGGTTCTCCAGAAAAATTCCCTACCCTTAGATTTAGACGAGAAAGCTTGAATGCGGGAGGAGTCTCATCTGGTTTCTATGCTTATGTTTCTAGTTAGCAGTAGGAAACATATCCTGCGCCAATGCTTCTGAACCCAGCTTCATCATCGGTACAAATTGGCTGTCTCCTTTTTTTTCGTTTTAACTTTGCAATTTTTTTGGTAATTGGAATAAGTTTGGTTCAGCTCCAGATGCAGATCCTGCCACTTTGGGTATTCCTTTCTTTGTTTAATTCTGTCTCTTTTTGGGTTAAGTTTCTCTCTTTTTGCTCTCATCATGGAGCTATGCTCTTGTGATACGTGTTGAAATCGTATTAGTGAATGGATCCCTTTTCTTGGCGGGATTGAACCAGTTTTCTCATTTCTTGGCGAGAAATGACCAGGAGGTTTCTTTGCTAAAATTCTGCTTATCCATTATTCATTACGTTCTCAACTTAAATACAAAAACTGGAATTGAAAAGGCCTATCTAAGTGGAGCTAATCCCACGTCTATCTATGCTAACCAACTAACCATAAGATGCTAAACCCACTCCACCTACTATGCAACACACTCCTAAATACTCTAACAAACACATGACTCTCTAACTACCTACTGACTTGCTCAACACTACTAACTAATTCAAATAACGGGAACTCTAATATATCTATACGTATTAGGGATGGCAATTATGCCCATACCCATGGGTATTTTACTATCCAACCCAATTGGGTTGGGTATGAAATCCAAATATATGGGTATGGGTAAAGTTTGATGGGTTTGTACCCATACCCATTTACTTTGGGTTGGGTTGGGTTTATAACAAATGGATTTGGGTTTGTACCCATGCCCAAATACAAATTACAGTTTGGTACCTAAACTTAATAGATATGCATATTTAGTACCTAAATTTAATTTTTTTTGCATACAAGTCCTCAAAATATCGATGGAAAATTACGTTTTGGTACCTAAATTTTTTTGGTCTTACATTTTGGTACCTAAAATTTTTAAGTTTTACAAATAAGTCCAATTTTTGCATGTGTAGTTAAGACACCCTCAAGTAAATGGATATCCATATCCAACCCATACCCATTTAGATATATCCATATCTAACCCAAACCCATATACAAACCCCAAACCCATACACACATCACCCAAACCCTACCCATAATAGATGGGTCTACTTGGGTTTGGGCAAAATTACCCATGGGTGGGTAAATTGCCATCCCTAATACGTATCATTCCTTCCCCCTTCGAAAGAACCTTGTCCTCAAGGTTCGAGTTAATTAGCGAATTAATTCAACCCATACTCAATCCGAATCAACGCAAAAGAAGGTTGTTGTTTGCGATGCTTCCAATTGTGCTCGACCCCTTCCACACAGCTCCTATAACCGAGAGCTCCGGCTCCAACACTTGCAATACGCTGCTCACCATTTATGGGGTTCTTAAATCCCAAACCTTGCCTTTGTGCATGTCTTAATCCTTCCCCTTTCCCCAAACGTGCATAATCACTTGACGGATGGGACGAACTAAGGGAATACCACCCTTGTACGCATAAAATCAACAGAGAAAACTCCACATTTGTGTTCTTACGAGGGCAACTGTGCTTTCCACAACGCGGAGTGGAAGCATATGTACTGAGAATGGAGATCCAATGGTAACCCTCCTGCTTGAAATTGAATCTCCTATGGAACGTGGCATCAGCTTCGGCAACTTGAATTTTCTTTCTTCTCTTCCTCCAATAAATAAGTCTCCCCTTGTGACCCTTTCTCGTAATCATGGCGATGACAGCAACTCTTCGAACTTGTTCTAATCGTATCGAGCATCTTGACCGTGGATCCCACATATCAGCGTTGATGTTGAGAGTGGCCCTCAGTGATCTAAGGGTCTTGTAATCTGATGAGGCCACAGCAAATGGCGGTGGTGCGACCAGATCAAGGGGATTGGGCAAGTCTTCCTTAGCTATAGTTGTCCAGCTCGCAAGCACAGGGATCTTTGTTGCTTCTTGTTCCTTGTCGATCATGGGCAGGTCAGCGACGTTGGTTGATGATGCGGTGATAGTTTTGGGCTCTCGCTTCCGCTTGTAGGTCTTGCTTCCAAAGCGTTCATCAAGATAGCAAAAATCCATGGTGTGGGCCATGGGTTCCTTCCTTGCCCTGGGCTGCTGCTTCCCCTTTGGAAATAGATTCCCGATCCTCTTCCTTAGGGTCGTAGCTACGTCAGCTCGACCCTTCTTCCTTCGCTTCCGCCAATACAGAAAATAACCATCAACACCAAACATGCCTACGTACGCCCCGTGTTTCTTTCTGAGTCTCCAGAGGTTCACTTGGCCCAAGGTTAATCCTTGTATTTCTTGTCGATGGCCGCCAACCCACTGGGATTGTGGCATCCTCGCATGATGCTGGTTTACACCGAGGCTTGGTGAAAAGGGATCAGTTATGGCTGCTGGTTGAAGTATTGACTCCAGCTCAACGACAATCGATGGAGATCCTGCTGCGTGCACAGGGGGTGCGATCGATAAACTAAAAAAAGTTTCAATCTGCGGCGGCAGTGGTTCGGAGACACTCGTCGGCGCGGCAAGAGGGTGGGACGACATCGGCGGTGCAGGCGGTGCGACGTCAACGACGTGAGCATCTTCTTCCTCCTCCTTTATTGACTTTGATAGAGCTTCAGCTTGCGGCGGTGGTAGTGCGGTTGCTACAGGTAGGACGGAGATCTCCTCCTCTTCAATGGCGGCTAGGGTCTCCACTTGCGGCTGCGATGGTGGTGTTGCTGACATGGATTTGTCATACGACACAATCATCATGCGGCAGGTAGCCATGACACACTCTATCTGCCTGAGTGCCTCATTGATGAGTTCCTCCTCTCTTGATGTTCTCTTTGAGCTCATCGTGAAGGGAATCCGGATCTACGGCTCTGATACCAAATGATACGTGTTGAAATCGTATTAGTGAATGGATCCCTTTTCTTGGCGGGATTGAACCAGTTTTCTCCTTTCTTGGCGAGAAATGACCAGGAGGTTTCTTTGCTAAAATTCTGCTTATCCATTATTCATTACGTTCTCAACTTAAATACAAAAACTGGAATTGAAAAGGCCTATCTAAGTGGAGCTAATCCCACGTCTATCTATGCTAACCAACTAACCATAAGATGCTAAACCCACTCCACCTACTATGCAACACACTCCTAAATACTCTAACAAACACATGACTCTCTAACTACCTACTGACTTGCTCAACACTACTAACTAATTCAAATAATGGGAACTCTAATATATCTATACGTATCATCTTGTTCTTAATCTCTACTTGTTATAGTGCATCCCATTGACCTTGAACTGTCTTAGCACTCCCCGCGATAAAACCATCTCTTCGTAATGGGAAGAGGCTGCAATGTTCTAAAAGTTTCATTTTGTGATCAAGCTTGAATTGTTCAATAACTTTTGCAGATAATTTTTTCGGGGTGGAGTTTGTACCATGGGGGTCTTCACAATTAATATTACCAAGGAGCTCGTTGATCGGCTTGCTGGTTCTGATGAGAAAGTAATGAAGAGAACAACAAATAAACCGAGACAAAAGGTACCAAAACAGCCTCGCCCACCTCCTCAACCCAAGGTGAATGTGAAGCAGCTGCGCGATGATGATCCTAATCCTAGAAAGTTGTTGCTGCCGCCACCAGCTTCTGCCGGATGGCCAGTTCTCTTGCCGGTTCAACCACTTGTTCGCCCCGCCAGTGCTGAACTGGATGCAATTCAATCGGTGGTTTTAGAGAGTGAGAAGGTTCTTGAGAAGTTGCAGAAGCAGGAGGAACGCATGGTGCAAAAGGTAACCGAGAGAGCCAAAGATCTGCACGGCAAGGAATTCAAGCTCCCGTACCAGAAGCCAATGCCTTGCATGCCTGACTACGAAGCTTGCAGGGCGTGCTACAAGGAGCATATTAACGATATCCTCAGGTGCAGCTCTCTCACCAAGAACTATTATGAATGCGTTCAGAGAGTAAAGCAGCAAGCAGGATATGGAGATAAGTGAGTATGCGTTTTACCGGATAGAGAGACATCTCGGAGTAGTATACATAGAATTCAGGAGCTAACTGCCAGAATGAGACGATGGAAAATAATCTGAAAAATTAATCCCCAGATTGCACCATTTTTTGGAATGTATGTTTGGGAGCCTTCGATTGTCTATTGGGGGTTTTTGTTAGATGTTTGTCTCATGGTTTTTGTAGATTCAAGGAATTGACAGGCTTAAGAAATTGAAGCCTAAAACATTCGTTCGTCGCAGCCTCTAAATGTAGATTTTGCTGCCTCTTCTTCGAGCTTACAAGCTATCTATGATTTTGCTTAGTTACGTTGAACGTTGTATCTTGATTTGTCATTTGGGTTCAAACACTAGTTAGGTTGATCGATGTTCCCAACTTCCACAGCACCCAGAGCTATAGTCTGCTTCCATGGCAATGGCTTGGATGGATACCTGGCGAGTGGCGATTGGTGAATTTTCTCATTTGGTTCTGAATCGTAAGATTGGCAGTTTGACACTATACTGATTGATGATAATTTTTGTATGAAAAATTCACAATACATGATTACTTTTGTTCTTCCTATTTATTCTTTATTTCCGCTACTATCAACTTTCAAACTAGACCGGTTTTATTTGGACTCGATTGAAAGATATGAAAATGTCTCTGGATAAAAAGGGAAGAGTTATTAATTAAATACAAGCGGCAGTCGTCGTTGCTCTTGTTGTTCTGGTGAAAATGTGTTTTAACTTTTAAGAAAACGAAAGGGCAAGGGAAGATAAATGAAAAACGGCAGAGAAAAAAGAATTGGTCTCATCGGAGCGATTCACGGCGACGTGCGGCCGGACGCGTTCGTTTCTGCCTGATTCTGTCGTTCCGGTCTGCGGTTTCTTTCCTTTAGACGCTCCATTAGGAACAACGTAGAGGTAGAGAAGAAGAGAGCCTGGCGAGGACGGAATGCTGAATAGTTAACGTCGACCAGATCCTTAATAGCTGCTGTTCGGCGCCGTCACCGGCTCTCGACGCTCGCTTCGAATTCTCATCTGGTCTGCAGAAAAGACGGGAAATAGAAGAATAAGAGGGCGAGGTCGGCAGCGCCGCCCTCCTGCGCAGCTTGCCCATCTTCATCGTCCAACGTCTCTGCTGTCTTAAGTAGAGGAGACTGGTCCATCTATTGGTCCGCCGCGGCATCATCTCTAATTCCGAACCTCTTAATCTGTAGAGTGGATTTCCAGGCAATTTTGAGCTGATAATTTCTCAATCGAGATTGGTGCTCTGGCACATTTCATTTTCTCGATGGAATAAATAATCCGTGTGCTGCAATGTGAAAATCGGTGTGTTGATGAATCAAATTGCTTAGTTTGAGTGTTCCTGGGCGACAGGTTTGCATAACTACTGGTCTAGGTCATTGGTTCTTCCCTTCCATTCGGATATGGAGGGAGAACATCACTGTTGCTTCTCTATTGCAACTATGATCACGATCTTCCTGCTGATGGTTGTGGTTCGAGTGGCCTATGTCTTTTATCGAACTGGGAAGCCATTGTCCTCAAAATCTTCAGACCCGCGGAGTACTTTGATTGTTCTGGGTTCAGGTAGGGGAGCTAGCTCATCAACTCTTGAAAGAATGTGGATTTATTGACTGTTTGATTCTTCAGTTTCTAAGGTTGGAATTTGTGTTCTTCTTTGCTAATGCAGGAGGTCATACAGCAGAAATGATTAATGTACTGTCCGTGATGCCGAAAGACAGGTTTACTCCTAGGTTTTATATAGCTGCAGCCACTGATAATATGAGTCTGCGAAAAGCTCGAGTCTTGGAGGACTCTTTAGTTGACGGGGTATGTTAGATTCTACAGTAATTTTTATTTCTCTTGCTTGTTTCTGGATTGCTGAGACGAACAACTGTCATAGTCGGACTTGATTGATTGTTCATCACTTCACAAGAGAACCTGCTTACCGTATCCGTTACTCTTAGGTTAAGTAGGAACTTGAGATATGGATCTATATTGTGTGTCGAATTAATCGCTATAGGTTCCATTATGATCGCCTCTTCTCCTGCTGGGACTTGTCAATGGTGCATATTGATGGATGAATAAAATATCGCTCCAGAGCCATAGATTAGTGGTTGCTGGTTTCCTACTCCATTGCAAGTGTGTATTAACTATTAACCTGAAACTAGCTATAAGTGGCAACTATATGATAGTCCCCATTCCCTGTTAGTGTTGCTGTTGTTTACCTTTGAATTATGTAACTAAGAATCATTTCTCGTGCGGCAGAATCAGGACGAGAAGGTACCTGCCGAGTTTATGCAGATATACAGAAGCAGGGAAGTCGGTCAATCATACATAACCTCTATCGGGACAACCCTAATAGCCATTGTGCATGCGCTATGGTTAATGATTCGAACCAGGCCGGAAGTGGTATAAACTTTCTGCCACTATCTTGTCCTTGCAGTTAAGTTCCTTTTTTTATTTCTGAAAGCACAACTAGACCAAGTTTTCCGGAGTTTCTGATTTCTTAAAATTGTAGGTACTCTGCAACGGCCCTGGGACGTGTGTACCTCTGTGTGTGATTGCGTTCTTGTTCAAGGTCAGAATTCTCTGCCCCCTTTCAACCGCTCTACGATCTTCGTAAAATATTGCCTTGTAAGTTGTAACTCATCCGAAGGTTTTGTTTTCAGGTGGTGGGGATTAGATGGTCAAGCATATTTTATGTCGAGAGCATAGCGAGAGTGAAGAAGCTGTCTCTAAGCGGTTTACTGCTTTACAAACTGCGCATAGCTGATCAGTTCTTTGTGCAATGGCCCCAACTGCAGAGGAAATACCCTCGATCTCATTACGTCGGCTGCTTGATGTGAGCAAATCTATGATATCTTCTTCTGATGGTAATTACTAATTACACTGACAAATCTTCACAAGCTTTCTTCAGCTTACGCTGAATGAATTTCCTATCTGGTGGTGAGTCGGTAATCGTTTCCTTAGTTTGTTTTTGTGATAAAACAGTTACTCCATCTAAATCTAAGTTCAACATTGGTACAGTTGAGCTAACTTGGCAACTGGCTCGCTGTGAGCCAGTGTCGCCAGAATCATCCAACTGAATCTCATGTATCCATCTTTTCAACTGGCTCCTAAGTAGGGGTGTGCAATGGTCCGGTCCCGTACAGGACTGTACCGGACCAAATTGGTGTTTGGACCGGATCGTACAGAATTGAGTATAATACGGTCCGGTCCTTGGTCCCCATAAACTTTGCAATTACTGAAGAAATGATAGACCGAACTTATATTTTGGACCGAACCAAACCGGATCAAATGGACCAAATGCAATGATGATCCGGTCCTTGGTCCTAAAATGTCTTTCACAAATGGACCGTGGTTCTCATTAGTTTGGTCAGGTCCGATCCGGACCGAACCAATGCACACCCTCACTCCTAACCCAATCCATCAACATCCAACTCAACCCGCTTCTAAATGACAAGTGAAAAGGATTGTGTAGACTACAAATGAGTTTGAACTGCTTACGAGCGGTTTGATTTTTGCCTCTGAAAATTACTCAACCTATTTCCCCCCTTTCTTTCACTTTATATGTACGCGAACATGAGCTTCAAGGTGGCGATTTAGAGGGTACTCGTAAGAAAACTACTCATACTAACTTGTACATAATGTTGAACATATATGAGTATTGAGGTATTCGCCTCGTTTCCATCACTATTCGATGAGAACTAAAACCAATTCAATTTATCAAATATGTAATTGAAAGAACCCCGCTTCTAGGGATTCTAGGGATTGATTTTCGGCACTCGTGAGATTGGGATTTAGGGTTGAGATTAGGGATTTAGATAGGAGAATTGGGGATTAGGGATTGAAGAACAGAATTGGGGTTAAGATAGAAGAATGGCCGGTGGCCTTTAGGGAAGAGAGGGACGAGATTTGAGAGGGATTAGAGACTAGGGTTTGAGAGATACTTTCTGTTGTATTATTCTTGACTGATTATGACGTAAACCCAAAATACATATATATATATATATATATATATATACACACACCCATTAGAGGTTAGAGTATAGTATCATGCCCCAAACTCCGATTAATTCATGATCTATATAGCAAAACTCAATGGGGCGTACGCTAGGTTAGCGTACACCCGGGCGTATGCTAGCCTGAACCATATATATATATATATATATATATAAGAAATAAACCCAAAACCCTAATGAACTAATCCTAACCTAATCAGTCTAGATTAGCCTCTAAACCCTAACATTAATAATAATTATTATTATTCTACTAATTATATTTCTAACATTCCACCCTCTTTCGAAGCGACCTTGTCCTCAAAGTTGCAGTCAACTTCCGTCTTCTTGATCTTCCGCTTTCTCGTTGGCAAACCGGCTCCCCGGCAGCTTGGCGGCCAGCCACAACCCGCCGCCTCCTTCCACCCTTCCTTCTTCTTCGTTTCCTTCCCCGACGGCACCGCGCACTCCTTCCGACGGCCAGCCCAAATCCACCTCGTTCTTCGATGAGGTCTTCGGCGGCACATCCTCGCCAACCGACGCCGCCACGAACGCGTCCCTCAGCCGCGCGTCCGCCTCCGTCATCGTCTTCCTCGGCGGCAGACAGACCGGCGATCGAATCGCTACCGGCTTCTTCTCCTCGTCCTCGGTCGGCGAGCCACCCTTCTTCTCCGGTGTCTTGTTCTCAACCCGACAGCCACCAGGCGAGCCTGGTCCCAACTTCCTCCTCGGTTCCTCTTTGCCGGTCGAAAACACGACAAGCGCGGCCGTCTCTTCCTTCTCCGGCGGCCCTCTCACCGGCGCCTCTTCTCTCGGCGGCAACCCGCCCTCCCGGTGACATGGAGATCCGCGCGCCTCCGACTCCTCTTTCTTCTCGATGGCCAACGCTACTACGGCGGTCTCTGTCATTTTCTTCCTCGTCTCGATTGGTGAGGGAACGGGCGCTGCGGGTGACGTCGTCGGAACAGCAACTGCTGCTGCAGCTGTCTTCTCGGCCGCCACGGTTGG